GACGGTGCAGGGCGCTCTGGGCGGCTGTGGGGGGGCCACAGGGCAGCCAGCGCCGGGTGGCACTGAGGGTGGGTGTCCCCTGCCCTGCCCGCTCGAGGCCGCGTACTGGAGTGCAGAGCCGGGTGCCCTCCCACCTTGCGCAGGGGCTGGGAAGGCTCCCTGCCCTGTGGCGCCGGGTGGCACTGAGGGTGGGTGTCCCCTGCCCTGCCCGCTCGAGGCCGCGTACTGGAGTGCAGAGCCGGGTGCCCTCCCACCTTGCGCAGGGGCTGGCAAGGCTCCTGGCCTTGTGCAGGACAATAACCGAATGGGTCTCTCCAACCCGCCCGTCTGCTCCCCCCAACACGGGTCCCCTCCTCTCCGGCCGCACCCCTGCCTGCAGGGCCAGGTACCTCAGACGGGGAAGGCAGCCGTGCTGGCGCTGGCACTGGCGCTGCTGCCCTGAGCTCTGTGCCACAAACCCCCCTTGCCATGGAAACAGCAAGCCCAGGCCTGCTCCAGCAGCAGCAGCCCGGCAGCCTGCCAGGCCCAGCCCCAGGCGGGGGGAGTCTCAGCCCCTCCCAGCAGGGAGCACCCAGCTCTCTGCTCCCGGCCCCTCTCAGCAGCTGTGGGGGAGGGGAACAGTACCTGGGTACCCTGGTGCTGAAAGTGTCTTAGGCCTGACAACGTTTTGTGCAACTTCGGATCGCTCCCCTTCCTGCTTCTCCACGTGGGAACTAACAATCTGGCTAAGAATGACCTTGAGCGAGTTACTGCGGATCATGTAGCGCTGGGAAGACCACGATCTCGGCACGCGGACAAATGGGCAGCGGCCGGCTTCCTTCCCGTTCCTTCCCTCCTATTCTCCTGTATAATGGATGCACAATATACATAGGGGTTCATTTTTTTTCATGATTTTAAGAGTCTAAAGTCAGGGTGCGCAATATGCACAGGTGCACATTATACTCACGATTTTATGGTAGATTTTTTAAAGTATCTTTAGAGTTAGCATTTCGAAAAGAAGCAGCATTGATTGATTACCATTCTGCATAGAAAAGGTAGAACATGGTGTGTGGAAGTGCTAACTATGTACTGCCTCCTCTCTGAGTTCAAAACTACTGCACTCGGATAGTTCACCATCAAAGCCCATTTGATCCCTGGCTGTGCACTGAGGCTACAAATATGATGTGGACATAAAACAGTATAGTAGACTAGACACTGGGCCAAGACTACAAGAAACCAGTCATTTCTAGTGAAGCAAAACTTCAATGAAAAATAGGGAAACAAATAGATACAATTTTCCTGGAAAAAGCATTATCTTGCAGTCAGCTTTGAGGCTCTTAACTCATTTCACATAGAGCACTGAACAGATGAGTGACTTTTGGTTGCTAGCAGTTTGAGCTGAATTTGAGCCAGTGATCTAAAGTGTAAAAGGCTGCATAGCCCATTGCCACTGAACGACTCAAATGTAGATGCAGATTAATGAGTGGTGAATCTCTCATTTGAGATCAGGTCAGTCTTTTCGAATTCGAGGGGTGGGTCTAATGAAGATGATTTATAGAATTATATTTTGCAGATGTCCTCTGCTTCTCCACGTGGGAACTAACAATCTGGCTAAGAATGACCTTGAGCGAGTTACTGCGGATCATGTAGCGCTGGGAAGACGGATCCAAGAACTTGGAGCACAAGTGGTGTTCTCGTCCATCAGGACTGGGCAGGGATCGTGGAATTGAGGACGTCAATGCGTGGTTGCGCAGGGGGTGTCGCAGAGAGGGCTTTGGTTTCTTCGACCATGGGACTCTGTTCCAGGCACAAGAATTGTTAGGAAGAGATGGGATCCACCTAATGAAGAGAGGAAGGAGCATCTTCGCGGGCAGGCTTGCAAACCTAGTGAGGAGGCTTTAAACTAGGTTTGTCGGGGGACCATGGGACTCTGTTCCAGGCACAAGAATTGTTAGGAAGAGATGGGATCCACCTAATGAAGAGAGGAAGGAGCATCTTCGCGGGCAGGCTTGCAAACCTAGTACACTAATGCGAGAAGCCTGGGCAACAAACAAGAAGAACTGGAGGCCCTGACCCAGTCCAAGAAATATGATTTAATTGGGATAACAGAGACTTGGTGGGATGACTCGCATGACTGGAGCGCTGTCATGGAAGGGTATAGACTGTTCAGGAAGAACAGGCAGGGGAGAAAAGGAGGAGGAGTTGCACTATATGTA